CCCCAAAACCCCAAAACCCCAAAACCCCAAAACCCCAAAACCCCGAGCGAGGCATTATACGCTGAGAAGTGATAATTATATAATAAAAGCAAAGTTATGGCTATGAATCTTCATGTTTTCTTTTTAATTCTTTTAACCTTCAACTTGGTCCCTATCTCTAATTCTTTTTATTCTCGTCATACGAGGAGCCATCAAAAGCTTCTTCTCATCAGGAATCGTGTCAACCATTTCTGAAATAAGTTCTTTCTTTTTATTCAAGCTATCACCCTGTGTCATCATATCCTCTTCGATCTCGTTGAGATAATGTTGTTGAGGTCCGACCACAGATCCTGGCCTACAGATCCTAATCCATCCAATAAAGGCAGCAGCAGGAAATCCGTAGTGCTTCATGCAGTAAAGTCCAATAAGAGTCCCAGTTCTTCCAAGGCCACTCTTACAGTGGACTGCGATTCCTCCAGATGTATCTTCGGCTCTTTCTAAGAATTTGCTAATTACATCCTGGGGAGGGATAGATCAACTTACAAATGGTATATCAAGATGCTCGAATCCATTATCTGTAAAGATCGTCTCGTCGTACTCTTTCTCATTTAATCTAACCACAAGATCAATTCCAAATTTTTTGAATATGGGGTTATAGTCCTCTGGAGTATACTGTCTTTTACCATCCTCATCATATTTTTATTAGAAGGACTGGCGAATGCAAGGAGCTTGCCAGGAATAATCCAATTCATATCTCCGTTCTCCACTTTCTCAAGTTTCTCATAAGTTTTTCTATCAAAAGTATCGTAGTTATACCATCCGAGTTGAATTCCGCAGTAGAGTCCTTCCAGGCAGTCCTTAATAGTGCATTTGTAAGTGGACTCACCCATGATCGCATCTCTGAAGGGCTTGAAAGATATGCCGCTTTCCTTGAAAACCTCCCAAGCTTTACCAGCGTTGTAGCCTAGGACGATGATCATGAATGCGCCCATCAGGAAGGCAGCATTTGCTTGCTTCTTCTTATCTGTTGAGGTATAATGGTAAATCTTATGCTTTTTGTATTCTTTATTAATCATTACTTTTTTCAACTCCCTGCAAAACTTATGCATCATGGCCATGTTCAATGGTCCAAAGTCTTCTCAGAAGGGGTTATACACCAGCGCATCGTCAATACAGAAATAATAGGCAGATCTGCTACTTCTGGGTGGATTCTTACTGGAGATCCAGTATAGCTTGTCAGGGATGATCTCAATCGGGACACCTTTCTTCGTCTTCTCTTTGTCTTCCATGTATAATTTGATATAAATTAGGCTTAAATCCCTGGAAGATTGAACAATGAGGAAATTGTGAAACATAGAAGGATCTCTAGCCTTTGTGAGGGACAGAAGGGAAAAAAATAGAGTTTTAAAATTTGATAGTTGGTGGAAATTGGTGTCAAAGAAGCCAGGGGTTGGGAGAATGGGGTCTAGATGGGGTTTACTAAAGATTAGAGGTGGAAAATTGTATGAAGTTAAAAGAAATCAAGATAAAATTGATAATTCCATATTTACGCTATTTAAAGGGGTTTTGGGGTTTTGGGGTTTTGGGGTTTTGGGG